AGTCCAGCGTCAAAAGAACGCAAGATCAGAGTCGCTGTGAACAAGACGGCCGCGATCGCCATGGCAGCCAGTAAAATGGTCTCAGCGAGAACAGCAATCCACTCCAGCAGGGAGCGTCGAGTCTCTTCTCGACCAGTAAGGCGCTCTTCCTCCTCACGCTTACCCCAAGTAACCGCTCGGTTTTGAATCGCCTGGTAGATAGAGACTAGAGCTACCCAAACGACAGAAGCGATCCCCACCCAGCCCTCTTCAAGACGGATTCGCGGCACAGCGAGGATAATACACATGTCCACCAGAAGCAGAACGGCAAGCGTAATGGCCCATATAGTCATGGGCATGGATGGCACTGCGAAGAACAACAGTCCAAGGACGAGGTATCCTGTCGCCAAGGTAGTATATGAAAAGGCAAAGAAGCCCGATCCCCGCGGGTGTATCATCGGTGGACTGGCGAATATGGAGACTAGCAAGAATGTCCACCATATGAAGCTTAGTGCCAGTGCGAGGACTGACACGCCGCGTACCGCGCGCACGCTCCATATATTGTAGGGCGATACCTGGTTCTCGTGTTAGCTATACCTTGTCTTCGACGTGCTACTTAGTGTGGTTTTGTTTATTGGACTAACTGCAGGGTCATCTGGGCTTAGAAGCCCCTCATTCCTATCTGCGGGGAGCAACCTTGAGCGCTCAGTAGGTTCTTCGAGTCTTTGCTCCGGCGCATGTCGACCTTCTTCCCCATTTTGGGTATGGGGTGGGCCCGTGGACTTGTGGTCGTTTTTGCGACCCCAGAGTGGCATGGTAAAGATTAGTGTCGATGTTTGACTCAGCAAGTTTCATGTAAATTAATCAATTTGAAGGGGATGCATGTTTGAAGAAATCGACCAAGACCAAACTTGGTAGCATCCAGGTTGATGGGTATGACATCATACATCTCCCTTACAGGTTATTCCCGGGTACCGCAGATCTATATGTTGGAATACTCAAGTAGCACAGTCAGCACAGTCATTGAATACTCGTATGGACTTTTGCGTATTTATTTGCTAGAAAATACGAAAAATATCGAAGTATTCCCCGAAAAAAATTATACTATAAAAGAGGCTAAAGTGAGATGCGAGTAGGTAGAGGAAGATATGTCTACCTTTAACTTATATATGATTACCTTTTAAGTATTCTGCTAATCACATATATTAGCTAGTAGGTACTCACTAATGTTCATGCTGATTCAGTCGAGGATTTGAGCAACAGAGTCCGGAGAAATTATCAACATGACTCTATTCAACCATATCTAACATTGCCGGAGCCATCTCCAAACCAGTCATCTGCAGCCAAGGACTCATCAGGAGAAGCATAGTTTATGATTGTGCTTTTCGATGTTGTGTAGGCATTGTAAGCCTCAACTCCGTTCTCGCTTCCTACTCCACTCGCAGACTTCGCACCTCCCCATGGACTGCTGGGGTCATTTCGATGATGGGTATTCACCCAAGTAATTCCTGCATCAATCTGTTCCGAGACTCGGAAAGCTTGGGGAAGGTCGAGCGTCCATACACCGGCTCCTAATCCAAACTCGCTGTCATTTGCCAACGCGATTGCTTCTTCCTCGGTATCGAAACCAGCAACGACAATAACAGGGCCGAACGCCTCCTCGCGCCATATAGATGTCTCCACAATGCTGTTGTTTCCTTTGCTGGATGCAAGTAGCGTTGGTTCGTAGAAGTATCCCTTCTCGAAGTTGAATCCGTCAAGCGGGCTTTGAGAAACCATCCGCTTTCCACCAATAAGAGAGACCGCATTTCCTCCATCTAGAGCGCTATTGACTAGGCGTTCCACATTTCGCAACTGCTTCTCAGAGATAAGTGGCCCCATGGTTGATTCCGGGTTACTCGGAGCCCCAATTCGGCGTGTAATGCTCTCGATCTTAGCCTTGAGCTTAAGCAGCAACTCTTCCATGATCGAGCTTTGCGCTATAATCCGGGTGCTGGCTACACACGTCTGTCCACTTGCGATGAAGCTCCCAAAGACGATTCCGTTGATCGCCGTATCGATGTTGGCCTTCTCAAATACGACCAAGGGTGCCTTTCCACCCAACTCCGCGGTGTATTTTGCCAGGTTTCCACCAACAATCTTCCCAATTGCTCTGCCAGCCTCGGTTCCACCGGTCACATCCACTTTTTTCACCAAGGGATGCTCAACCAGTGCTTTACCGGTGATAGATCCATAACCAGGTAAGACACCCAACACGCCATCTGGAATTCCGGCCTCGTGAAGGATTTTGCCCAACAAAAGAGTTGTCAATGGAGTCAGCTCGCTAGGCTTAATGATGACACTGTTTCCAGCGGCAAGGGCTGGAGCAAGCTTTTTCACGGCGATTAATAACGGGTGATTAAACGGGGTGATCTGAACGACCACCCCAAGAGGTACTCGATCGACAAAGTTATGCAGTTTACCCATAGTCGGCAGAACAGATCGCTCCTCGACTCTTAGAAGGGAGGCATAATATTTGAACCATCTTGTCAAAGATGGGACCTGGGCCTTCATTTCTCGAATTACGCGACCGGTCTGCTTTGATTCTGTTGAGATGAGCTGCGGGAGCGCATCGGAGAGAAGTACTGCACATTTGTCCAACACGTCGGCACGATGATGGCGACTCGCACGCGACCATACGCCGGACTTGTACGCTGCGTGCGCGGCGGAGATGGCGGTCTCGACATCTTCTAGTGAGGCTGCATGGCATCTGTCAATGGTTAGGCTGGGATCAGACGTCTCCCGAAGTCGACGAATCAGCTTACTGCGCGAAGATCTCTCCGGTTGCTGGGTCTTCAATGGGAATGCTGTATAATTGTCAGTGCTCGTTCGAGTGTCAAGGTAGCCGTTACCCACAGGTCTGCATTCCCATCCTGCTCTTTACCGGCCAACCACAAACGATATTCCATGATAGAAAATATTCAGGTACATCAAACGCTTAGAAACCCTTCAAAAATCGGGGCGATGCTTTATAAATTGCGCTTATCTGGCTTATCTCCTTAGAAGGGGGGTAAATGCCCAGGTGAGGGGTCAAGCTTGGAGTAAAATTTAAATTCGACCTTCCGACATTCCGTTTATAGAGAATTTCCTCTTGAGGGCCCTGTCCTGACCTGGCTTGTCCAGGAATAGATTGCATTGACCATGATCACAAGACTGACGTATCGGGGAAAGTGGTGATGTCGATCCCTTCTCCAATCAAATTGAAATATCGCAACTTGCACTTGCACTGTTTTCATCTTCAAACCCCCTCACCATGTATACTGACTATAATACTCCGGTAAACAAGACTGTGAAACCACTTTCCCATCCTGTCGGAATCAGACCAGAACATATTGCGGAGGAAGAAACTCTCCTCTACCTGAAACCTAAATATGACCACCGTTCGCCCAATGAATATACCATCAAGAGATATTGGGACGACTCAACAATCTTCACAGTCACTGGCCACAAATATGGTGACACTCCAGCTCGCGAATTTCGCGATTCCTCGGGGCTCCCAATGTTCCAGTCTCGGGCAGCGGTCCTAGCATGGAAAAGACCACTGCGGGTGCGACTGCCTGGCAACGAAGACGAAGAGCTTGTAGATTTCAGGGTCGACATGAAACAAGTCTACAGACTCACGTTTCGGAACTCGATGGAGCCAAACTCAAAAAGCGATAGGGATAGAATGGCGACGGTCGAAGTCCGAGAAACGAGCTCTTATGCGTGGCAGGGGTTTTCGGCTAGTGTTGGGGGCCAGAAAGTGGTTGATATTCGTGAGAGCATGACGATGAACAAGACACTACCCAAATGTACCTCTCAAGGGGATGTGTCCTTGATGCCACGACAAGTGCTTGAGATTCTTGTAGCTGAGGGGTTTGACTTGTCGCTCGTGAGTATATCTCGTTTTGGTTGGTACGCAATCACTAACTGTTTTGTTCAGGCTGCACTCATTGCCGTCTACATGGCAGATACGAGGTTCAGTACTGCACCTCCTCATCGATGCTAAGATAATACAAGGGCTTTTGGATATTACAGCTGAACTGGTCTTATTCTACGCCTTTTTATGCAATGTTGTGGAACACTTCTTGAGCGTGTTTGTTGTATCAGCCTGTTTATTCTTTATGTCAATTCTCAAAGGGCTAATAAACCCCTTTACCCACTTGTATTTGGTTTTTATTCTTCTTTTGCAGTTTTTATCTCTCCTTTCCACCTAGGATGACAGTTATTTTGGAATTGGGAAAAGGCTATCTATTCAAAGCCACCACCGCATTTTTCTGATACTCCATAGGAAGGGAACTATCCTCACAATTCACAGATATAACTAAGTATCCTCTTCTTGTTTTAGGTCGGTTTGCGACTGTTTACGATCAGTCGTCTGCACCACCTTGGTCATCAGCTAGCTGGCTAGGTTTCGTCACGGTTCCTTGAAGTACTATTATCCCTTCAAAAGCCTTTGGTCTATAATTTTCTCAGCATAGTACCATTGCATACAGGGTGTTTACCGTATCTCGCTGCCTACAACAAGCCCTTGCAGATTGTTCCGGTGCTCATTCTGACCATATAATCCCTCACAAGTAGGAATCCGATCACCATATGGCATGACCAATGGCTTCTATTCCAAATCCACTCCTCTTCCTATACACTAATAAATGGCTATACTGCGTTATTGTTCAATTTGGTCCACCTAATGATGTATACAGTGAGTAGGCTTAGCCGAATGAACAGGTTATAAGCATGAAGTTTGCAACCTTGGAAGTATACTCGACGCCGAGCCTTTTTCACGGCTGCGATCCCTGTTCATAAGTTGCGCTGCCTGGATAAATATGTGTTCACTCGTGTCGTTTACTTATTTACTTCGCTCCCTCGAAGACGTTTTTATCTATCTCATTGAAACTGAATACCAAAAAACATAATTGTCGTCTACTACTATCCTCTTTATCATCCTGATCACCATCGAATGTCACTATCCCTACCATCAACCTTTGGGAACGAAGCCCGCAATGTCGACTGATGATCCAAAGCTCGTCCCAACTGACGAGCAGGGGGAGCTCTTCTGCCAGCTCCTAGAAAGAGTGCACACAGAAGAAGTCTTGAAAAAACAACACTACACCCCCATTTCAGCTCGTGGGTATGGCGCTCGTTGCGCCGCGGGTGGGGTCGTCCAATACAGGGAATTTATCGAGAGCCCAATGCCAAATGAAAACACAGCCAGACGACAGGCGCTCGTCCTAGATTGCGAGATGGTCGGGGTCTCAGAAGGCCACAAAGAGCTAGCCTTTCTGGTGGTCGTGGACTTTCTCACCGGTGATATTCTCATCAACAATTTCGTTCATCCAACCAATATCGTCCGAAACTGGTTAACCCGATCGAGCGGCATAACGTGTGCCAGTATGAAGGCTGCGGTGAAGGATAACCTCGCCCTTCGAGGATGGAAAGCAGCGCGCGAAATGCTTTTTGAACATATGGATAGTACCACTATCCTGGTCGGCCACGCCCTCCATAACGACCTAAACGTCCTGGGGGTTGTACACCCCACAATCATCGACACGGAAATCCTCACCGCTGATTCGGTGTATAGACCGCTGGCGAGACGCTTCCGGAGGACTTGGAGCCTCAAAGCCTTGGCCAATGACTTGCTTGGTCTGAAAATCCAAGTGGATAAGCGTGGACATAGTGCGCTGGAAGATGCGATGGCCACAAGGCAGGTGCTACTTCATTGCATCAAAAGCCCCCTCGACCTGGAGGCTTGGGCTGATGAAGCACGAAGCAAGGAGCCTCCCAAACCCGAAGAACCGGTCAAGGAGGAACCGGAGAGAGATCCTTGGTTTGATTAAGTTGATGAGCAAGTCGCTGATGTTTTCGTGTGGTTAGCCTAACCTGTGTTCTAGACCCGATGCAACATGTCAAATTGATCTGTTTCAGCTTTCATCAGACAAGAATAGTAAGCTAAATATCCTAGGAATATCACACCCCAAGTCCTGGATACCGTTCTTTTCATGGCGGATACGGTGTTCGGACCCCTTCAAAGGCCCATGCAGCTAATATGGAGCCTCAAACTGTTGGCTGGAGATATACTCAACAAGAGCATTCAAGAGGGAGGAGGGCCACAACAACCTCAAAGATGTAATAGCGACACAGAGCGTAATAACCTATTGCGTCAAAAGCCAAGTTGAGTACTGAACCTCCTTCCCGGTGGTAAATTTATACAAGGACTTTTGAACATTACAATTGGATTAGTGTCATTTCACACCTCTTTAGTGAAACATTTGGGCGTATTTGTATAGATGGGCCCTACCCCTTATATCTGGTCACTATTCTTGTTTCCCACTTCCAACTGAGATTTCAGTTATCTTGGAATGCGAAAAGCTATATACATATCAAAGTCACCGCATATCTCTGGGATCCCATATAGAGCTATCTGTCCCCACAATTCACAGACATCAATGAGTGTCCCTTTTTTGTCTCATGGCTTGCTATACACCTAGACAGATGATAATTTCACTTAGGTCACCGCTATCTACGTATCATCGCAGTTCCTCGTAGTATCGTCATTCGCTACAAATTCGCTCGTCTTGGACAAGCAAAAATATATAGGTATTACACCAAGACAAGCCAAAATGACTATTGTAAGTTATTATTCAATGTTGCCTGCATATGGATGTATACAGGCGATAAGCAAAAGTTTACAACCTTGGAAGTATATACCACATGCCCTTTGTCATGGCTCAGATACCTATCTTCATCTGATTTATGAACTGTGTTAGGCGTATAATTGTGCGTTTGGCTCGAATCTCTCATTTTGTTTCCTATTTGTTTCATTTACTCCCTTGAATACTTCTTCCTTTCTATACTCATCTCATCGAACCTCAACTTCATCTTCTATCTATGATTCCCAATATCGTAAAATGGATCATGTCTGTATTCCCTTCAATTCTCTTGGTTCTTTATTATATCTAGGTAGACTACTCTACTTTCACAGGCATGTTGGCTCAACACTACTACATGGGCTAAAGTTGTAGATCTGCGTAGGTATTCTAGTGATATATATATATTTATTGCCCGAAATTTCGACGGCATAGGTTTATGTAGAACTACTATGTATCTATGACCGAGCAGATATATGTTATTTGATAATTGATATAATCATTGTGCTTCGTGTGTTTATTCTCCTTTGTCGGTAGAATTCCGGTAGAATTCTATTGTCCTCGTAAGTTGAGACGATTGCTTACATCTATTTCTCTTCCATCGGCAAATTTAGGCTGAGCCACAAAGGGGACTATCTAGGTACACAGATACCATATCCAAGGCCTAATATATGAATACCAATGCTAAGTTCCTAGACAAAGGAAATTGCCAACTTCTATAGCGTTGTCATAAACATCTCAGTCAGGGCTGGGAGGCTAGCAATGGTATTAGTCAGCCGTAACCGACGACACAGCAGTCACCCGATGTGAATGGACTCGATTATTTCTAGCAAAAGCCATAGTTAAGCAATTTCACTTTCGCAAATTATTTGCTGTGCGTGGAAAAGAACACATGTTTGACAGCTCTCATTCATGCACCCCTCCTTTTGATCGACATAGCCGTGGTATCCACTTGAGATGAGTGACCTTCAGAAATCATTTGCCAAGTCAAAACTGGCCAAATTTCCACCCGAAGCACCAATGCCTGAATCAACGAGTTACTCAGAGGATGCATGGGAGGATGGCTCTTCGGCTTCCTCGCTGTCGTCGACTGGGACGATGGTCCCGTCACCCACGCGGCATCTATTCGCCCGAACGGGCCGACGGTTTGTTTACTTCTCCAATTTCCATGAGCTCAAATTGGGATCAATTGGTTATTTGGACCAGGCAATTTTCTGACACAAGGCTAACATGCGACCACAGACAATCATCCCAAACCTCGTTGACATGGACAGACTTCTTTGACCAGGAGCTCTTTCTTCCAGAGGATGTGGATAGTCTCCATATTGTACACCATGTCTATTTAACACCTCCGACTGAATCAGGCCCACTTTTTGTCATGCACCATGGTGCCGGTTCATCTGGACTTTCCTTCGCGACGTGTGCAGAAGAGATCCGGAAGATCCTCCCAAAGGCGGGGATCTTGTCCCTGGATGCTCGAAGCCATGGGCGCACTGCTGTGACTACATTGGACAGCAAGACGGGCGATGACGCTCCTTCGACGGCAGCGGCAGCCCGGTCTGAATCATCGGGGCAGGTTGAGCTCGACCTCAGTCTTGAGACTCTGAGCCGGGATCTAGTCCATGTGATCTACCAGACACAAACCAGGATGGGTTGGGAGAAGCTCCCTGATATAATTCTGGTTGGACACAGTCTCGGTGGTGCGGTGATTACCGATGTCGCGAAGAAAGGAGAGCTGGGCCCGAAACTGTTGGCATACGCGGTGTTTGACGTAGTTGAAGGTATGCTCGCCTTTTTGGTTTATGTCTATCAGATACTGATATCTCTTCTTGAAAGGGTCTGCAATGGATGCCCTCCAGAGCATGGAGAAATATCTTTCGACTCGTCCGACCCGATTTCCATCCCTACTATCTGGAATTGAATGGCAGTATGTCTCCATCCCGACTGTCCGTTCTCCCCATCGTGACTAACAAACACCACAAGCACCCGCTCCCGGACAATCCGTAACACCACTTCCGCTCGCGCCTCGGTTCCGTCCCTTTTATACGAAGAAAGCGAGCCCAGCGACCCGTCCCGTCCTTGGGTGTGGCGCACCAACCTCTCCGCAACTAAACCTTTCTGGGAAAACTGGTTTGTTGGCTTGAGTAGGAAGTTCCTCGATGCACGAGGTGGCAAGCTACTACTACTTGCTGGGACCGACAGATTGGATAAAGAGTTGATGATCGGGCAGATGCAAGGTATGCGATTCGAAAATCTTTCTGCCAGCTGTCTATAATCATTCGTCATCATGCTCACTTCAGTGTCACAGGCAAATATCAACTCCAGGTCTTTCCTGAAGCAGGTCACTTTGTACATGAGGACCAGCCTGCAAAGACTGCGCAGATCCTGGCAGACTTTTACCGACGCAACGACCGGAGCGCATTGGTACTTCCACCCAAGGTCGCGGATATGCAGGCATCAGCCGCGATGAAGAAGGGAACTGGTGCTCCTAGTGGCTCAACGGGGCACCTGAGGTAGTACCTTGTGATTTGTTTCAGTGTTTGAAATGAGATATGATATCCAATGAAAGGCCATTCATAGATGTCAACACATGCTTCTCAAGCAAATAGGGTATCTACAAGGCTCTTTCTCCAATGCGCCTACGTCTACAATTGATGGGAATCAGCTACTCTCATGTACGGAAACAAAATTATATGAGCAGAAAAAGTCTCATTTTCGAACGGGCTGAGAAGATCCTTGGGCCTAGGTCAACTCGGCCACACAGGGTAGCCGGGAGTCCAGCCTCCAGTCCGAAGCTTCATACCACCCCGCTACGATAAACACTGGAGGAAAGAAACAGAGAGAAAAAAAATCTGCCGGGCACGGTAAAACGTTCGTGCCTCCATCGATAAACACCGAGAATCAAGTTTTCGAGATTCCGAACGCCACCGGGATTCCATCAAACGGAATCATCATGCGCGGATCGTGAAAAGGGATGTGATAATACAAAGAGGAGTAAGGGTATTCTGAGAGAGAAAGAAATAGCGTATGACGCCAAGAAAAACGGACCCAAATGCCATTTTAAGGCAAATAGGCACCACCAGCGACCACCAAATTCATATTGGTGAACTTGACCTTGTAGACAGGAGACTTCTTAGTCGGGAAAGCGCTGATTTGGTCTGCCGTGACAACGACGTCCTTCCCCTTCTTTTTCTTGGTCTGGCTTGTCGATGGGTTTGCGGCTGCATCAAGTCTGGTTCCAGTGCCCGTTTCGCCGATGATACGACCACCCTGAGTGGTTTCCTGGGAACCAGCAACATCCCAAACTCGCACGGTACCATCAGCTCCACCAGAGACCAGCACTGTGGACTCCACGCTCCAGCTGACAGACCAGATTCCACCCTTGCCGTGGCCACGCATGCGCTTCAGCAGTCTACCAGGAGCCAGATCCCACAAAATGATGCAGCCCTGGTCGTCAGCGGATGCTAGGAGCTTTCCATCGCGGCTGCACTCCATCGCAGTGATGCTTCCAGTGTGACCAGTGAACATACGGACAGCATTACCAGTTGAAACAGCCCACATGCGAACAGTGTGATCAGAGCTGGCGGTGAAAATGTATGCCGAGTTGGGATGGAAGCAGACGACATCAACATCATGGTCATGGCCGACGAAAATACGCTGCTGGCGGATTTGGTCACTCACCCACAAACGGGCGGTCCGGTCAGATCCACCGGAGACAAAGTAGTGACTAAAGGGTCCCCAGCTTAGGTCCCAGACAGGGCGGTCATGGCCCTTGTATACGACCATACATTGCCAGCTATCAAGAGACCAAAGGCGAACAGTCTTGTCCATGGATGATGAAAGCAGCCAGCGTGCATTGGTGGCGACCTTTTCATCCCCCGAAAGTCCTTCGCGAGCAGATGCGCAGGGCTGGAACGCAACAGCGGTGACGGGACCAGAATGGCCGATAAGGCGGCGCGAACTCGCAGGTGGCGAGTTATCAAGGTCAGGATCAGCAGCTTGAATGTTTGTGCCATCAAGGCTCCAAATTCGAATATACGACTGCTGGAATCCGACGGCAACAAGCTGGCTGTCATCTGAAAAGTCCATGCAAGTAACTCTGTGTGTTTGTTAGTAAAGCTGTGTTGAGAAGACTGTTCACATGAACATACCCATCATAAGTGTTGTGGAATGTGAACATGCACACACTA